TAAAAATAATAAAATTAAATAAAGAAAGAAATCCAGTCCGCTCTCCTCCTTCTATTCAATTACTGTCCATCTGAATTGTCTGTTCCAGGTATACACACTGCTAAACAAACACCTATAGGCTGAATGCCCAAGTACATGCTGAAATCTGGGCAACAGATATTCTTCACTCACTGGTCTTTCTTGCGTGGACAAATGGGCCAAACTCCTTTGAGTGATTATAGATCTCTTTCAGGAAGCTCTTCAATGTCTTGAGATTTGATGCAAATAGGAGTATATGAAAGACTTCAACATCCAAAGGAAATCCTTCCTCAACCTGAACTGTGTGCTACATCTCTTCCATCAATGGTGAATAAATTTGATGAGCATATTTCTCCCTGTTTTAAACCTGAGGTTAGGTTTAAACCTGATGTTTATTATCATAAGGCTACAGAAAAGTTATTTCTGTCATGCATCTTCCAAGGAATCCTGAATGATCTTGATATGTGAATTGGAGAAAACTTGTTGTAAAAAGTGATTTCTGTTCTACCAAATCAAATGCTTGTCATAAGCAACAAAACACAATGGGATCTTTTAGTTAACTGTGAGATAATATAGATGTAATCCATCGTTAAATTTCTATTGCAAAAGTCTACTTGTTCCCTACTTGTACCCTCACTCCTTGATTACTATAGAGATGACTTTCATAGATAGGAGGGAAGGAACATAAGTCTGTGTGTGTGTGTGTGTGTGTACATCTATATCTATACCCATATATAGATATAGATACATAGATGTGTTTGTGTGTGTCTATATATATATTATATATATATATATCTCTCACACACACACATGTGTAGGTACACACATACATTTTTATCTTCTAGGGAGGCAGAAGATTTATGGGAAATCATGAAGATGAAACACAAAATTGTAATCTGTGTCAGGAGAAGGAATAGTTACAACAATGAAAGAAAAGGGAAGGGAAGGGAAAAAAGGGAACAAGCATTTATTAAGTACGTACTATATGCCAGGCATTCTGAAAAGTACTTTACAAATATTATCTCATTTAATCCTCACTACAACCCTGTGAGGCAGTTGCTATAAGTATCCTCATTTTACAGATGAGGAAACTGAGCCTGACAAAAGTTAAATGACTTCTCCAGCTGATAAGTATCTGAGGCTAAATTTGAACTCATGTCTTCCTGATTCCAGGCCTAGAACTCTATCACTTAACTGTACAGATATTTAAAAGTTCAAAATTATATCACATAATTATCACTGATAATACTTTCTTAAGGTGAAAGTATCCAAACTCTCTAATTTGTACCCAATCCCATCCAACCAACCATGAATTGGTTCTATATATTTCTAAGTCTACAAAAGCACTATGAGCATGTTCTATAAAAGAAAACCTATAAGTAACAAGCAATCTCCAGTTTATAAACAGAATGTTACAAAATTCTATTTTAAGCCAGAATCCTTGAATTACGAATATTTCTTTTTAAAATATAAATTTTACTTTAACTTTTATTGACATGTACAGATATTATATATAAGAGCATAAGAAAAGAAATCAAGACCAACAAGCATAAGATAACAGATTTAGGGCTAGAAGGGATATTAGAGGTCATTGAGTTCAACCCTATTATTTTACAGATACAGAAATTAAGGCACAGACAACATGTAAGCTAAAATAAAAATATCCTGAGATTGTAACTGTGTATATGTGCCTGTAACTTTTAATATTTACCTAACATTAATCCCACTCCTAAGTATGGGGACACTGATTTTAAGATAGTAATACCTGTATCATTCTTTATCCTTAACCTTCTTTATAATACACATAACATGAATTTGTTGTTACTATTACTGTCTTTAACTGCTTGGATATGGTTCTGTTTTATTCTCTCTCCATGATATAAGTATTCCCATATAATTTCTACGGGCAGCTAGATGGCCCAATGATAGAAAGCTGGGCCTGGAGTCAGGAAGACCTGAGTTCAAATCTAACCTCAGACACCTATTAGCTGTGTGATTCAGGGCAAGTCACTTAACCTCTCTCTCTCTGCCTCAACTTCCTCAACTATAAAATAGGAATAATAAGAGCAACTACCTCCCAGGGTTATAAGGATCAAATGAGATAATATTTTTAAAGTGCTAGCATAGTTATCTAGCACAAAGAAAGTGCTATATAAACATTAGGTATCACTATTATTATTTACGTTGTTTCTTAAGGCATAAAATACATTTTTCCAACAAAGAGGCCAGTTCATATAAGCCCATTTAACCATACCACTGCTAATTGCACTAAAGAATGTAATCAACACTGATGAACCCTTCTGCAAGGGTTCATCCATTCTTCACTTAGAAAATGTTCCAAATTGAAAGACCAGAAACATCTCTCTCCTACTATAATGGGTTCAGAAATATCTCCAACTCTAATCCACTAGTGATAGCTCCTGCAAGATGGGACATAAAGTCAAGAACTGCAACAGAGTAAGGAGTTATCAGAATGACGGACAAGCCGGAATCTCCTTCCAGTATGGATACCCAAGGACATATAAGTTTCAAAGAGTGCTCTGGGTAACCTACTCCTTTTTTTTTTATGAATCTCAGACATTGGCCAGCTTGCTTCCCTTTACTCAACCCACTTTTCTTCTGGTCCAGCACTGAAGAGAAAGTAATCTTAGTTTCTACCCTGTCCTTCTGTTCTTAGAACAAACACAGTATTCCTTACAATGTTTCTCTGAAGGTTTTTACTATTAGCAATAAAAAAGAAAAGGTAAAACAGGGCAAGAGAAAAAAGATTGCCCCATATAGCTCTTCCATTAAAATTCTACTCTGATTCCTCACTGTAGTGTGGAAGTATCTCTAGGTTTTCAAAGCCTGTACCACTAAGACATAAACTCTCACAGGACCTAAAACATGAAAGGACTTTGAATGTGGTACTTCACACATAGCAGGCATTTGATGCTTGCTGAATTAAATAGGATATGGGTTCTTGGTCTATTGTCCAAAGGCCAGCATAGCTAAATTCAGAGAGGCTCATCCCTACACTGGTCATAAGGTAAGGAATGTTTTGTTCAGAAACCCTTATACCTATGGAGTTGTAGAAGGGTTTTTATCAGCAATGGTGTGACAGCATGTTTAAATTAGCTACGCATATTTGTTACAAGAAATCTGTTGTTTTTTTCTTTTCTTTTTTTTTGGAAGGAGTAGAGGATAGGAGGAAAAGAAAACAGATTTCTGTTCATTAAAAAAAGAAGTGGTAGGAGTGATATAGATGTGAAATGATGCATGCACTTTCAGATGATCTAACTGTATTATTAGTTTTATAGCTGTTTTTATCTTGTTATAACAGACCTCTCATGAAATGGGAAGCAATATGTAAATATATGTAATGTAAAAACAAAACACATCAATAAAATTGGCAATGACAAAAAAGATAAAGAAAAAATGTGAGAGAGATGTGGTAGACTTAGAAACAACAAGATCTGACAACTGACTGACTATGACGGGTGAGGAAGAATGAGTAGCCAAATATAAAAATAGGTCATAAGCCTGGATTGGCAGGGAAGATGCAATGGCGTTCTTGTTAGCAAAAGGAAATTTTGGAAGATGGCTGGGTTTGGGGAAATACAGAAGCTCTGTTTTACACACCTAGAATTTGAAATGTCCAGAAAGGAAGAAAGCAGGGAGGGAAGAAATGAAGAAAAGAGGGGGAGGCAAAGGAGAAAGGGAAAAGAGGGGAGGGAAAGGGAAAAGCATTTATTAAGCACCTGCAATGTGCCAGGCATTGTACTGAGTGCTTATAAACATTCATTTGATTCCCAAAAAGACCCTGGAAGATAGGTGCTATAATTATCCCATTTTACAGATGAGGAACCTGAGGCAAACAGAGGTTAAGTGACTTGCCCAGGGTTACACAGTTAAGCGTCTGAGACAGTGTCTTCCTGACTCCAGGTCCAATGCTCTATTCTCTGCACCATCTATCTACCATCTACAGGAGAGAAAGGAAGGAAAGGAGGGAAGGAGAGAGGGAAAACTTATGAAGAGCTGTCTACGTATGAAACACTACACTAAGCAAGACCAGCTCCCAGGAGTTCACAGTCTAATGGGGGAGAAAGCACATCTGGGAAGCTTCAGACAAGAGTCAGATACAAAGGTTACATGGTCCTTAAGGTACTGCAGCAAAGCAGAAGGTCATACATGCCTCTTCTTTCTTGTTATTCCTCTAATGTCAATTTCTATGTGGAGCCATCTCCAAGGACCATGGTGAGAAGAACTTCCTTTTCTGGGTCTTTAACAACTGCGGCTGTGGCTGAGGCACCTGCAGGACCAGTCTCCAGGCTGCATCTCCACAAGGGCTGCTTCCCAGGATAATGGCATGGCTATTCCCAAAGCTCCTGGGCCCACAGTCCTGGGCCGTCTCCACAAGTTCTGAGGGGAGTGGTCCAGCTGGTACCGGTGTATGTAACTTGCCTGGCAAATGCTGCCTTCTGTCTGTCCCCTGGGGTACCTTACTTCAAGTAGGCCAGCTTGCCTATCCTACAGGTTGCAATTGATTGGCAGCTGGTGAGGGTATCTGGCCCTTTTAAGAAGAGTAGCTGTGATGTGATCTTTATCTTTATCTAGTACCTGGCACAGTTTCTTGCATATAGTAGGTTCTAAACAAATCAATTTACCTGTTCATTTAAGTAACTCTTAATTTTTAAAAAATATATTGACTATAAATACTTGACTATTGACTAAAATAAGTTTTTCACAAATATCATTTAGACTAGTAATGGAATAACCATATTGAAACATAAAATCAGATTTTCTGTTTCTATTAAAGCCTCATAAAAACTTTTTGGTATACTTTTTTTTTAAATCTTGAAAATGAAATAGAAAACTAAAATAAATTTACTTCCTCAATTCCTACCAAGGATTCAAAAATAATTTTTAAAAGATATACAGAAAGGAGGGAAAAAACTTTGAAAAATATCAATTTTAAATCCTATGTCAATATATATACTAACCATGAATCAAGGAGCCATTTAACCACTGGATATAGTAGTTTTGTGGAAAAGAAAGGAGGATTTCATTGCTGATTATTGAGAAAGGAAGAAGCAAAACTGCACCAGCTGAAACCGCTAACGTGAAGGTGCTCAAAAACAGCCTGAAAGGGAAAAAAAAAAAGTTAGTCACCACAAAGACTTAAAGAAGCAAAGGACCTATAATGCAAATGCTTTTCAAATATGGACTATTTCCAGGACTTTAAAAACTGCATGAAGTTAAAAACATCCTTCTTTAAACGACATGAATAGGGGTTAGACTTGTTATTTCATTGATACAGGACAGAGAAAACTCTCTTTCTCTACTAACACACTTTCTCACAGCCTTAGAAAACTGAGTTTAACAGACTTGTCCAGAGTTACACAGCTAATGTGTCAGAAGCAGGACCTGAACTTAAATCTTCTTGGCCCTGAGGCCAGTTCTATTGATGACACCACAGTGTCTCTCCAATCTTTACAATCTTCACTAAATTCATTTATCTGGATAGGTTAGTGTCCAAGAAATATCTTAGGTAGAATTGAAATCTGGGGTAGAAAAAGATGATCTCAGTATTCCTTTTAGTACTGAAACTCTATGGCTCTGCAAAAATATTGTGGGATGTAAAAATGGGGGCCAAAAGAATACTGGCATGTACTGAAGTAAAATATCATTCAACCACTAAAGACAGGATATGTGGCTTTGCAAACACGAAATCTAATCTTAAAGTAAGTATAAATACTTATTTTATGATTGTATCTGTTTAACCGTCTGGCAACATAGTCACACACAACAGCATGATAATTGTTTCAAGTGATTAAAATGCATGTCTACAAAAGATATTAATAAGGGGAAAGGTCAATTCAGGCAAAATCTTACACAACCACCGGTGCAGAATGGACAAATGAAAGGAAAACTATAAAGTATACCAACATCAGGGAAGTGAAAACCATTTTTTAAATAAAACATCTCTTCCATTAAAGCCTTCCAAAAGAAGAATCTAAAAACAAATACAACATATTAAAAGTAAAAGCAATGAAAAAACCATGCCAACCTCCTAAAATACATACTTTAAAATGTGACTTTGAAGTCAATGCCACCTTGTGGCAAATAATAGAACTATTTTTTTCATAAGCAACAAGTAATGAGGTAAGGTCCCTCTGTTCTAAAAAAGCAGGATGGCAAATGGAAGGGGGAAGAATTTCCATATTGTATGAAAATTAAAAATTTAACTATAGGAAAAGTATGATTGATTACCTTTCCTGAAAAGGCATGTGGTATACCAGAAAAAGCATTGGGCACTCAGTAATTTAAGTTCTAGCACTGGCTCTGATCCACCACAGACCTGAAGGCAAGCAACAACCTTCTGGTTCTGACTCCTCAGTAAAGCCAGGGAGATAGATGAATTCAATGGTGTCAAATTCAAACAGAAATAGATCCCTGTGAACCCATACTGACTCAGAAAACCACAAATTATATTACTTATGTTCTACTGTTGGGCAGTGGATGGAATAGTGGGCCTAGAGTCAGGAAGACTCATCTTCCTGAATTCAAATCTGGGCTCAGACACTTACTAGCTGTGTGACCCTGGGCAAGTCACTTAACCCTGTTTGCCTCAGTTCTCTCAACTGGAAAATAAGCTGGAGAAGGAAATGGCAAACCACTCCAATATCTTAGCCAAGAAAACCCAAAATGGGATTATGAAGAGTAGGACAGGACTGAACTACAACAATAAATGACATGTTCTATTGTATTTTTATTAATTTTGTTAAATATTTACTCATTACACTTTAATGTGGCTCTCCTTGCACTCCTGACTGCTTCTGCCTGCTGGTCCAGAATCTGATGTCTTTGGACTAGATGATCTATAAGACCTCTTCCAATTCACACATGCCATGACTCTTATGAAAAGAAAATGTCACCCATAAAACCAGAATGAGTGGGAAGTATAAACTTTAAGAAATGTTATTTTAGTTTTCACTGATCAGTTAACATATCATTAACACAATAATAGCATAGCAAATCATAAAATGTTAGTATGCCAAGGGTCCTTAGGGATCATCTAATCTGACTCCTTCATTTTATAAATGAAATTGAAACCCAGAGATCAAAATAAGTAGCTCAAATTCACAGAGAAAGTAAGTGGCTGAACCAGGACTAAATCTCCAGGGTTCCAGCCTTCACTGTGATTTGAGGACCACATCTATTGGCAACAGTCATTCTGGGCATATTAACAACTTTAAGAAACTGATTTACTAACAGAAGGAAGCAAAGTCTACGGGGGTACACTGAAGAAGGAGCTGGAGATTATAAGTAGAAGCAAAATAAATTGGGACACAGGGACAAAAAGTAAAGGTGGCCAGTCAAGCCACTAACTCATCAGCGAAGGTGAACCCACAGCCCTCAGTCTTCAAAGCAAGTACTGTCTATCAATGTATCTAGACTTGGTCATCTGTTTCAATTTCCTGTTGTTGTAAATAATAAGTCTCAGCTTATTTCCCAGCAGCAAAGCCAGACTCAGTACACCACAGAGAAATGCTTCATGTGCCACCTTCTAGTAAACATGCCAGGACTTAACACAACCAGTTAGTTCATAAAGTAAATTTAAAATATCATTTTTATTCAGTGACTGGTTAGGTACTAGCTTAGTAACAGTTTTCTCTATGATACAATTATAATAGCATCCCTCCCCACTAATATAAAAATAAAATCTGTTGATATCAACAAATCAGTGACAAAAAAAGAATATATAAAAAGAGCAGGCCTGATGTACATTTGCTTAACTGAAATACACTTGTACCCTAGAAACTAAACAAAAACAAAACAAGCAAACAAAAAAAAACCCAACGTCTATGGGGTAACTGAATTTTAGTGGTTCTCCAAAAGGAAAAAATCATTAGTTAATGTTATTCCTAGGCAGGTCAGTTTTGGTACATAAAGAAAAATATCCTATACCTTGACAGGATCTTATACATTTTAAAAATACATAAACATGACCCAAAAAACCCACCACTTTTGGGCAACACTGCTGTCAAAAGCTCTTAAGCATTAGTGGAAGCAACAGTGTTGTAGAAACATAGCTAGAGCTGGAGTCAAGCCGTGATTTCACACCCTGGCCCTAATATTTACCAGTTGGATTCCTTCACTCCTTTGAACCTCAGCTTTCTCATTTGCAAAATGGGGGAAATATTCTTTGCACAAACTATGTCACAGAGTTGTGAGGAAAGTATTTTTATAAACCTCAAAGTGATAAAGAAATTAACAATTATTGTACATTTTTCTAAGCTTGATATTTCATAACATGTTTCTACCTTTGTCTTCAGGATTACTAAATGAAATAGCACTGAGAATTTAGCATTCAAGAGAAAATGTTGCTGCTGAAAGCCTCCCAGTGTAATAATGATTAAACAATTCTCCAAAACACTAATTTCCTCTCTTGGTTTTTTCATATCCAACAGTATCTTCTAGATAGCTAGAAAATTCAAAAAGCAAAATTAAATTATAATTAATCTTAATTTTTTAAAATAAAACATCCTATATACCTTAGAAGCAAAAGAAGAGAGTCATGGAATCATAAGGAATTGGAGATCATAAAGTCCAACCTACTCACTTTACAGATGATAACAACAGCCCACTATTATAGAGTACTTTAAGGTTTACAATGTCCTTTCCTCACAACCCTGTGAGGTGGGTAATAAAAATATTATCCTCATCTTCCTCCAGATGGTGAAATAAAACCTTGAAAGGCTAAATGAATTGTTCAAAATAACATAGCTAGATAAAGGAAACCAGAATATGCCATCACAATTCCAAAAGGAGTTTTTTTATGAATTTTAAAGTGCTAAATTATGAAATGCTCATTATTTAAAAAATTTACTCTCAAGAATAGTTTATCTGCATATAAACCACTCAAATTCTTGTTAACTAATGACTTAAATAAATCTGTCACACTCATAAATAAAAAAGAATAAAAGGTTTTATAAAATATGTTCCTCAAATTTTTTAAGTTAAATTACATTTAAAGGCACTAAGAAACCTGAGACTTTACTATACACAGTTGGCGCCACCTCCTGGAAATTCAAATGTACAATCATTAAGGTTAGAAACGGAATGCTGAAATGCTTCAACATTAATGCCAAGAATATAGCTTCAGTACAGAGAATCAGGGGTTTCAAATTATAGTCCTAGTTCTATCAATGACATTTGTGAGAAATCTTAAGTGGATAATGATTCTTCTAGCTACTATTTTTTCCCTTAAAATAAAGGAGTAATTTATATTTACCTCACCAAGCAACTATAAACTTTCCCTTAAAGAGTATTTATAATGTTTTCATAGTCTCCAACTATGATTATAACATACACATCAAGGAGGGGGATAAAGAAGGGCATCCACATCTGTAATTTCATCAGTGTGGGGAGATCCCAGTTTGGAAAATATCTCCACCAATGCAGGACAGCAACCTCTCTGAAACAAGTCTTAAGAGTCACCTGAGGCAATGAGAGGTTGTTTGACTGTGGGCAAGTCACAATTTCCACTATAAATACCTGGCATCCAGCCTTCTCTTAAAGGGCCTTCAGTGAGGGGGAAACCTCTATACCCACTTTTAAATGTCAACTCTAATTGTCAGAAAATTTTTCTTTCTATAAATCCTAAATTTGCCTCTGCCTTTCTACACAACAGGTCCAGTTCTGTCCTCTAAGGCTAAATGGAACAAGTGTATCTTCCACATGTTAGCCTTTCAAATACTTAAAGACAACTATCATGTAACCCTTAAGTGTTTTCTTCTCCAAGCTAAATTCAGCGCCTACAACTGATCCTCAAATGGAATGAACTCACGGTGCTTCCCCATGCTGGCTGCCTGCCTCTAAACATTTTCTGGTTTATCAATATCTTATTAAACTGGCACCCAATATTCAACATAATACTCCAAGTATTGGTTTGTCATGAAGATTATAGGAAGATTATCACCTCCCATAGTCCCAATCTATATGTACATTAGTTTTCTTAGCTGCCATATCACACCAGTGTCAGATCCTGAGCCTACAGTCCACCAAAGTTCCTAGATCTTTTTCAGATGAACTGTTGTACCACCACACCTCCATCTTGCTCTTGTGAAATTTATTGTTGGACCTCAAGTATAAGACTTTACCCCTTTTAAATTTCATTTTGTTATATTTAGTCCAATGTTCTGGCCTGTCAAAATCTTTTGAATACAGCCTTTGTCCTTCTATTAGCAATCTTTCCCAGCTTTGTGTGATCTAAAAATTTGATAATCATACAATCTTTGCCTTCTTCCAAATAACGGATAAAGAAAAAAGCCAAATGCAAAACGCCTCCAGCGGCACTCCACTGGAAACCTCTTTCCAAGCTAATGCCTACTCTTAATGACCATTCCAGGGCTGTTTTGTTCAACTAATACTGAACCCACCCAACTGAGCTCATGTCTCTCCATTTCTTCCCTACAAGTGCCATGAGAGATTTCATTAAACATTTTGCTAAAATCTAGATAAAAAATCTATCTCCAGACTTAGCAGTCTAGTAACTCTATCAAAAAAAAAAAGTCAGGCACAAACTGTTCTTGATGAAACCACAATGGTTCTATATCATTACTGCTTCCTCTTCTAGATGTTCACTAAGCATCTCTTTTAATAATATATTCTAAATGAGTTATCACAAGACCTCAATAAAAAGAATAAGGAAAACCAGGATTAGACATAACAAGTGACTGACAAAAGTTGAAGTTTGGTGTGAGAAAGTATGTGACTGTACTCTGTACTGGAGTATCTGTAGTTCTTCTATAACCCTAAGTCCCTTCCCCTTGTCATGGGGTGGGAGAAGAGTGGAGTGAAGAACTCAAGGCAGTATTTTAAGTCTGGAGGACTGTACAGGTCCCTGGGAGGCAGAGTTTTCTAGAGGAGTAAGGTGCTTGACTTGCTAGAAACCCTGAGCTCTTTCCCCTTGCTGAAGAGTCCTATCCAGGGCAGTACTATACGGGCAGTACTGGAGGAATGAGTATGTCCCTGGGAAGATAGAAGCTAACCAGAGAGGGGAAAAGAACTATCTTGATTATTTATGAGTTCGTTAGCAAGTCCTCTGTATTTTTATCAGGATATATATACATATATACACATATACATGTGTGTATGTATATGTATATGTGTGTGTGTGTATATATATACACATACTCGTGTGTGTATATATATAGACACACATACATATATCTATATATGTACATATGTATATGTGTGTGCACATACACTTTAGAATTTTGCTAGGAATCAAAGTCAAACATTGGTCTATAGTTTTTAAAATCCATTGGTTTCTCTTTCCTAAAATCGGGGACATCTGCCATTCTCCAGTCTTGTGGTATCTCTCCCATTTTCCACGATGTTTCAAATACTAATGAGGGTGGCTCTGCAATAACTAATTCTTTCAGTATCCAAGTATGCAGATAAGCTGAGTCAGGTTAAGTTAACTCAAAGTCAGGCAGCTAAGTGCTCTCTTACTATCTATTCACTTTTCTTGAATATAAACTGTCTATTAATCATTTAGGTTCTCTCCTTTCCAATTCAAAACTCATGCTCCTTAGAGAAGAGAGAACAAGTTAAAAGTTAACCATCTCCTCCTCTCCAATATCCATTATGATTGTCCTATACACCCCAAACAGTGGTTCTTTTCCCCTTCTTAAATACTGCTCTTTTGCCCAAAGTAAGCTTTAAAAACCCCTTTTTCTTAGCTTCCTTGTAACCTCAGCTTATTCCTTGTTTAGCACTACTTACACAAGCCTTAACAAAACCACATTAGAATATAAGTACCCTGTGAGTAGAAATGGTTTCGTTTTGTTTGTGTCTCCAATGTAATCTCACAATTCCTGGCACTTGGTAAGCACTTAATAAATGCTAGTTTACTTACTGTCATCTACTCTTGCTACAATGGTCCTTTTAAAATCTGAGCTAGGGGATACTTCCTCTATGTATTAGTCTGTTTAGATAACTTTTTTCTTTTTCTCCTTCATTAGAATTGTTTATTGGCATCTTCAGAATGTCATTCTTGAGAACCCTCCATCTCTCCTGGGTCAACTTTCCCTGCAGAACTAGAGGCTGTGGGAGCCTAACCATCTTCTCTCTGTACCCTTTGAAGATCACTATGCATCTGAGACTGTATTGAGGCTCCCTATCACCTTCAGGATCAAATACAAAACCTTCTGTTTTGCATTCAAAGCCTTAGCCCCCTTCTACTTTTCCAGTCTTCTTATACCCTTAACCCCCCATATCCTTCCACATACTCCTGATAGTGACACTGGCCTCTTTGCTGTTCCATAAACAAGACACTCCATCTCTTGGCTCCACGCATTTTCTCTGGCTGGCTCTCATGACTAGAATGCTCTCTCCTAAGATCTGGTTCCTGGCTTCCCTGCCCTCCTTCAAGTCCCAGCTAAAATTCTACTTTCTATAGGAAGTCTTTCCCAATCCTTCTAATTCTAGCGCTTTCTCTCTGTTAATTACTTCTTATTTATCCTGTATATGGTTTCTCGGTACATATCTGTTTGCTTGATGTATATCTCCCATTAGATTGTGGGCTCCTCAAAGGAAAGGTCTGTCTTTTGCCTTTCTTCGTATCCCCATCTAGTGATGAACACAGTGCCCAGCACATAGTAGGTGCTTAATAAATGCTCACTGACTGAGTGATTGACTATTCTCAACTTCTAAGAGAGATTCCCTCAATTTCACCCCAACAATCAGTTCTTCCTTGTCAGTGAGAATTAGATCCAGAAAAGAATTTTCCCTTATTCATTTCTTCACCTTTGAAGTGGTAAACAACCAGTGAGACAAATAAAGAAATTATTAGCTGTTGTGCTTTTAGCAACGAGAGGGCTAGCACAGACGTCAAGCTAACTAAAACTCCACGTTACTACCATATCATGCCTTTGGGCCAGGCTTTTGATTGCTTTAGTATATGGTACTCTGATCATGAAGACACTATCATTTTTGTTCCCCATAACACTGGACTTTATCCAAGTGCTCGCTACCATGCTCCCCCCCTGGATTTCCTCACATGAACACACAACTCTCCCTCCCTTTTAACCTATTTTGTTCTTTTTGAAAAAGGTATGCCTTTCCAAAGCCATATTTCACACATGAATCTCACCTCAAGTGTCCAATATCATGAGGTCAAAGCTGCCCCACTGCAGTAGGATTTCTAGTCCGTTTTCCTTATTACCCATACTTTGAACACTCATGCATTTAAGTTAAACTATCTCAGTATTTCCTTTCTTGGATTTAGTCCCCTGTTGACTTCCAGACTTTTCAAATGCTAATTCATTCTACGCTGTAGTAACTCTCTATGGTATCTTGCATGGCGGAAATACATAAACAAGATTCTTCCTCCTTCTTTTTTAATACTTTACACCTGTATTGATTAAATTTTCAAAACTCCAGGCAACATTCTTATCAGTCTTTGTTATATATGCTATAGTCACAGCCAGGTGCCTTTTGTATTTATGATTTAAAGTATGCTCCCATGTTGTCTGTGACCCAAATGCAGTTACTTTAAATCTTCCAACCAAGAAGGTAAAATAGAAACAGAAACTATCATGTACAAAACAATGCACTGTTTTAATCTAGTAATTTGCTTAGGCAAACATATCTTATATTTGAGTTAAAAAATTTCAACATATCCATTAATGAACTTGACCTATTATCCAATAGTATTCTTCCTTTCCTATTACAATTTTGTAAATTCCTACGTGCACTGAACTTAAATATTTATTGAATGCTAAATTTCTGCATATTACCTGGGCTTGTTTAACTTATATTTAAGTTAATATTTACATCACAGCAACTATAATATGTTAATATGAAGGAGTAAATAATGTTTTTATTTTCTCTAAATAAAAGAAAACCTCAACATTAGCCTTCTAGAAGCACTTTCTCAGTGAGGAAATCTAAAGATAAGCATAATAAAGATGGAAAGGTAGAAAGTATACAGTCACAGAGAAAAGAGATTATTCTGGGAGTCTGACCTACTAAGAAAACTGAGTGATTTCTAAGGTCCTTTCAGCTCTGAAATCTACAAAATTATACTGGTTGAAAACAGGGCCCTAGCCAAAATTATAATTTATTTCTAGCCCTTCCTATGTTTCCAGCTAAAACTTTTTACAATTCCTTATTACAACTTTTCCTCTTCTCTATGGTCCTTCTGCCCTTTCTAATGCTGTATTGTGACTATCCCACTCAGGGCCTGTTGTTTCTATAGACAGTTCCAGACCCCAGAATTAATCCCACCCTCTTCTCAGCAACTCTCTCTCAGGTGTTAAAATGATTATTCATTAAATCAAAAATTATTGATTTTACTGCTACTGCTAGGTGATGTCACAGAGAGTACAATCTAATATCTAATTGAAGTAATAATACTAAAGGGTAACTTATAGTAAGCTTTGTGAGTTGGGATAAAAACAGCTAAGGGCATTTTACACCTGAGATTTGTTTTTCTGTAAAGTCTGTATTACAAAGTATAATTCTAAGTTTGGCTTATTTCTCATTTTGTAATACAGTCAATAAAAACAGGAAATTTGAATATACGTACGAAATTCTGTTGACTATGGCATCTTCATCTTCCTGTTCATCTGCAAAAATATTTTGAAAAATATTTTAGCTTTATTTCCCATAACAAAAAGTTGCATTTGTAATATAATATAATTTAAAAAGTGTGAACATGAAGAATTATTACACAAAAATTGATTTTCAAATAAGCACTGCTTTTGATTGAGCACAGACCTAATTTCAGTATGTTTATATCAGATAGAAAAGTTAAGTTATGTGCTACCCAGTACAGCAGATGAATGGTCTCTACTGCGGGCAACACGGCTATGGTAGAGGTAGAGGGCAGATAAGGAGAAGGGAAGGGAGCAAGCATTTATTAAGTAGCTACTATGTGCCAGGCATTTTGCTCAGCACTTTACAAATATTATCTCATTTGATTCTCACAACAACCCTATAAGACTATGATCAGCTCCAATTAATAGTTGAGGAAACTGAGGAAAACAGAACTTAAGTGATTTGTCCAGGGTAATACAGCTGGTAGGTGTTTAAAGCTGTATTTGAACTCAGGTCTTTCTGACTCCAGGCCCATGGCTTTATCCACTGTAGAAGGAAGTTATCTGAAGATACTGGAAGAGGTTAATAATTAGACCAAGAGATAGGAGATGAATGAAGAGGCAAACTATCAGGAATAGATGGAAATGGATGGGATCAAAGGCACACGTAAAGAGAATGGCTTTGATAGAGGGAACCGTCACCTCATTAACAGAGATCGGGGAAAAGGAGGGATGACTATGGAATAACCTCAAAGGGTTTTTAAATGAAGAAGAGAAATGAGGATGCTCATGACAGATGACCTCAATTTTCTCCGAAAAGTAAAAGTGAGAAAGGAAGGGAGGAGTGATATGGGAAACCTGAGGAGAGAAGGTTTGGAACAGATTTTGTGGGGAGTGTTATAGCTAATCAATTAGGGAGGAATAAAAGAACTGCCTTGTTGTGTTTAAGTCCCAGCCTAAGTCAGATAACATGAATTTACAGTGTTCTCCATCAGCATGATTCTCCAGCTCCATTCAGAAGCCTCTGAGTAGGAGAATAGTGTAATGCCAAGCTAGAGATTGGCAAGGGATAAGAACTGTTAAATTGGTTAACTATACAGTCAAGATAGGGAAAGGAAGAAAATGAAGTTAAAGAAGGAATGATGAATGACCTAACAAAGTACTGAAGGACAGAGGAACTGGTGGACAGGATAAACACAAAGAGCTTTAGGAGAGGTGAGGCTTAGGGACAGATTCAATGATAAACGGCTGGTGCTCAGAGAGAGGAATATAAGAGTTTTTTTAAGAAAATGAAACACTGTTAATGGTGGGACTCAGGTGTGACCATGTGTAGCTAAGGCAGATGGAAAGGAGTAGGTCATGAAATTTCAAAAGACTGAGGAACTAGAAGAGATTGTAGGAACATCACCATGGAGGTTGAAGTCCACTAGTACAAGGACAGGAGGAGTTGGCAAGGAGAGAAAAGCAGTTAGTTGAGTACTGAACTCCTTGAAAAAAGGATGAGCTGGGGGCAGGTACACAACCCCCACCATGATGTCAGGCTGGAATCTTCAAAAGAGGAGTGTTTGTCAATCGATAGTGTTTAAAGGAGAATACACCTATACTAACAACCACAAAGGACAATTATGAGGAAAGCCGTTTGTGAAAGCTTTAAACAGTAATTACCCAGAAAAAAAAAAAAAAAGGAAAGCAAGAGTCATAATGGTAACATTAGATGCTAGGCTAACCCTAACCCTAAACTTTTTTTCCCTATGACACTGTTCTTATTGTGTTCTTCTTTATAGCTATTTGAGCCACAAATAAATACAAAAGAAACATAAGATAAGACAAGATGGAAAGAGTCAGAGAAAGCAAATGAGGGGAAAATAAGGAAAGAGTAGGGGCAGAAGTTATGAAATTGAATTCCACAGGACAGCTGGGGGGGCAAAAAAAAAATGAGGCCTAACTAATAAAAATAATGATCTATTAAAGGAAGGCTTAAAGCTAATTTAAAAAAAAAAAGAAAGCTTTTAAGCACAAGAGAAATGAAAATTGTTATTCTTTTGCATAGTAGTTCTTCAATGTTTTGATACTCCTACGATAAAATGGAAACTAGGGTCATTAAAGGAACCTCTTCCCAAGAGTCAATTTGTGCCTCAAAGAGCCAAGCTGCAGCATTTTAAACCTATCACCAGCTAACCAACTTTGATCTTCAGGTCTTCAAAATTTTATTTAAACGGAAAAGGTCTACAGAACTTTCCATTCAGCTCAGTATAGGAGGCAGCCATAGAATCACAACAGTAGCCACACTGGGAAAATAATAAATAGTTTTAAGGTTTACATAACACTTTCCTCACAACCACCATGCTAAGTAGGAAGGAAACATATCATTGTCCACATTTTACAGATGAGGAAAATGTGGCTCAGAGATGTTGTGTGAGCAACCTAAGGTAATACAGCAAGTAAATGTCAGAGCCGAGATTTGAATCCAGGTTTCCTGACTCCAAGATCAGGGCTCTTTCAATGGAAAGACAATGGAAATTTCAATGGAAAGAAATCACCCACATACTATTTTCCTAGTTTTCCCAATTCCAAAGGATTCCACAGAATCGAGATTAACATGAGTCAAGTAACATAAGTCACTCAATGAATATCTATAGGGCACTCACAAACCCAAGATCATGTTAGATATTATATATCTATAGTGGAAAGAATGCTTAAAATAACGTCAGGAAGACCTGGGTTCAAACCTTAGCTGTGACACTTACTAGGCAGGTGACCAACGGCTAATTATTTAACTTTGCTGAAGGTCAGTTTCTTCAGCTATAAAATGGGGATAGTACTGGTTGTACTTATGCAGCATGGCATTGTAGAGATTCAAATAAGAAAAACTTATTCAAGTCCCACTTAAGACACATCCTGGCTTTGTGACCCTAGGCAAGTCACTTAACTTTTCAAGGTCCCAGGCAACTCTCTAAGAACTCTCTAAGTTGTACAGAAGATGTGGATCTGCTCTGGTAGAGGGAGCTTCCTCATCTAGGAACTCCCTGTACCAGTGAAATCAAAGGCCCAGTTCCAATCCTAATCATCTACTTGTTAATGTTCTTGTGATGCTCAAATGAGATACTATGGGTAAGCTGTTTTGCATACTTTAAAATGTTATATAAAAATTTATTTATTATCAATGTACTGCTACATTATAACAATAATAACTAAAAAAAATATGGTCCCCAACTTCAAAGGTCTTATAGGCTTGTTGTGATGATACATATGTAGGAAAAAGGAGAAATATTCATAACTATATGATAAAGGATATAATCAAGCACTAAATTTTGTGATCTAAAACAGTAGTTCCCATCTTTTAAGCAGCAGAATTATGGGCTCTGAGAAGTCATTGATAAATTAATAAATAAGCAAAAATAATTTCTATAGACTGAATATTTCAACATGTTATATAAGTTACTATTTTTCAAATGACTAGGGATGCTATTATAACTAATAAAATGCAAAATCATTTAGAAGTATTACTGGATTCATAGTAGCTTCTTGTCATTATTTACTTTCTCAATCAGTACCCATTATTACTACGACAACTATAAGGTAGGTTCCACAAAACATTTTACATTAAACTGAGATCCTGATATTTAAAAAGTTTGGGAACCACTGACTATTAGAGCTTTGGGGCTGCAGAGAAAAAAATGATATTGCTATGTGTAATAGTAGTCAGGAATGATACTTCAAAAGAAATAGAATATCACCTAAGCATTAAAAGATACTTAGAATTTGGACATGCAAAGAGAAGAATAGGTGAAACCAGGCCACAACCAGTCACAGAAAGCCCATTTCCAATTAAATTGTAGATGGTAGGTATCTATCAGATACTCAATATACTACAGGTACAGTACAAATATGCAGAAGTGAAACCATCTAGTTTCAGAACTATTAGCTCCTTTGCCACATAACAACTGACTAGATGCCTTAGGGTTAAATTTAACAATCTATTAAAAATAGGTAATGGATTCCAATTATAAATCTGCTCAGTATACCAGAACACTTAAGTATAACAATATATTTAGTATGCCATGTTCATAATCATTAGCACTAGAATGAAAAACTTATGTTAAAGCATTTCCACTTGCCTGATTTCCTCTTGTACCTTGTGATGATGAAGTATGAAACAATGTAGAGAACAGCAAACAGAAGAAAGCATATCTGAAATAAAGTTTAACAGATCACCAGTCTGGTACATAAATCATCAAAACAATCCACAAAATAAGAATTGTTTAAAACAACTTCAAGATTAAAAGTATTTAAATAGAAGGCTAAGATAGAAATTGTCATTTTTGAAACAAAGCAATAGTTTGTGTGGTAACAAAAATTTAGAAGTAAAGTGGGGAATTGCTTAGAGCACAAAGTGTTTGAACAAACTATGGAACGCAAATGTAATAAATATTAAAATGATGAATATGAGGAACTGAGAAATACATGAGAAAACATATGAACTAATATAAATTAAGCTGAAACAGAACAATACACATAACAACCATAATGTAAATAAGAATACTAAAAAGAAGCCAAAGTCAATGATTATAATGATCAATGTCTCAGAGGACATTTTGGTAGAGAAGTAGTGGACAGAATTTTGCATACATCATCAAACCTGTTGTCTATTAGTTTTGCTTTTTCTTTACTACAAAAAGAAGGATATATCTGGAGATGACTGTGATATAAAAACAAAAGATATCTCAAAAATTTGTTTAAAACTTATTTTTCTAAGTGTGTTTATGCTTTTCTGTGTGTTTATGTGAGCTACTGCTATCCTGGTTTCATTTACATGACAATTTGCTGTTCTTTAAAATTTCTAATTGAAATTCCCGACATATAATAGTAAGAACTCGCATTTCTATAGTACCTTTCTAACTTATCTGAAGAGTAGGTAGGCTAGTGGATTATTTTTGTACCTTAAACTATTAACTACATTTTTCAAATGAGAAAATTGAAGAACGGGGAACTTAAGTAACTTGCCCAGAATCATGCAACTAATAATGTAGGGCCAGAATTAGAACACAAGTTTTCTGTTGATTATCTCTAATTTAGCATGTATATATCTTGTTTGTACATAATTGTTCTCATATTGTCTAATCCATTTGACTCTGAACTCCTCTTTTGCCTTTCTTTGTAACCCCAGTACTTTAGCACAGTGCCTGACACATAGTAAACACTTAATAAATATTTACTGACTGACTGACTTTTCATATGCAGGGCTTTTTCCACTATTCCATCTTCCCACGAAAGAGATAAAAAGTAGTAAGGTCACCATATAAAAGTGAGTTTTTCACACCTGTTTGTAATTCTCTAAACTGTCAAACTAATGATGCTGAAAATATTACTTCATATCCCTCAACAGAGAGATATAACAAGAATATGTGTTATTATAAACCTACCATAATTTCTGTAATTTCATCAGTCTCCACTGAACTGTAACTGGTGTAATAAAGTTAGGAATGAAACTTTCCTAGGGACTGCCTTCCCTGGGAAACTGACATTACTTAGAGCAAAAAAATGAGCAACTTACAATGAAAGGTGACCTCACTTCCTACTGCTTTGTGACAGTTTACATAGCACAATATCCAACACCACTTCCCCACATACACTTCCTCCCTCTGTTTAAGTGAGTATCCTTCGGGATCAAATCACCTATCAACTTTTGGGGGCAGTTAGGTGATGCAGTGGATAGAGCACTGGCCCTGGAATCAGAAGGATCTGAGTTCAAATCTGGCTTCACACACTTGACACTAGCTGTGTGACCCTAGGCAAGTCACTTAACCCCAATTGTCTCACTAAAAAAAAAAGTGACTTTTGTAGCAGTAAAGTGTACTAGCTAGTCTGACTGTCATTAGTCTCAGAGAGTGAACCTCTGAGCTGCTAATTCGTATAACAAAAATACAACTTGATCTCATTCTTGATAAGACTAATTTAAAGCATCCTGAGTACCACATACCATTTAAAATCTACATGCTAATCCCCCTAATATTTATAAACATTTTAGTCTTTTGAGTACTGTATTCTTAAAGTATCCATCAATAGGCATAATAATTCAGAAATCACTGAACACCAGGAATGACAATAGTTCTCCCCTATGGTGCATCTCTCTCTGTCTCTATCTCTGTCTCTGTCTCTCCTGCCTCCCCCCCCCAACCTGGTCTCTCTCTGTCCTCTCTTTCTCTTTGCCTCTGTCTCTCTCCTGCCTCTGTCTCTCTCTCTCTGTTTCTCTCTGTCTCTCTCTGTCTCTCTGTCTCCCCAACCCCAAATCTCTTAAAACCAAAAAGAATAAAATATTTCTAAACTGATTGACAATCCCATAATATTAAATGGCAGTCCCTGCTATAAGTCTAAACAAGATAACAGATACCTCATCCACCAAAGACACAGGGTGACTATTTAATAGTCACCATTTTAATTAGTCATCTTCACCCCAGAAAGATATCTTACATGCTATTAAAAGTAATCATTTGTATAACTCTAAGGTTTTATTTACCTCCCACTCAGAAAACTGGCAAACATAACAAAACAAGGGAATAGTTGGTGTTACCACAGAAAGATGATCACACTTATACACTGTTGGTTGAGCTGTGAATTGGTCCAATCATTGCAGAAAGCAATATGGAATTAAAGTATCTAAAATGGCCATACCCTTTGACCCAGAGATCCGAGTGCTAGCCATATTCACCAGGAAGATGAAACCATAAAGTTCTCAGCACCAAAATGTTCACAGCAGCACTTTTTGAAGTAACAGAACTAGAAACAAAAATATGACCACTGGAAATGTTTGGCATGACTGTACATGTATAATCTAGAGCCAACTGTTTGCCTTCTCAAGTAAGATGGAAGGAAAGGAAGGATGAAGAGAATTTGGAACTCAACATTAAAAAAAAGTTTAAAAATTGTTTTTACATGTAATTGAGAAATAAAATAAAAATTAAATGTAAAAAAATAAGAGTTAAAAAAGATTCCCATTGAACAGGGAATAGCTAAGCAAATTGTGGTGTAAGAAATGATAGCTATAAAGAATAAAGAGAAGCATAAGAAGACATACATGAATAGATACAAAGTTAATAAGCAGGAAAATAATGTACACAATGACAGCAATGTAAATGGAAAAAATAACAACAAAACTCTGAATGTCATTTAATTATAATATACATGTTTATCCCTGAAAAAGATCAGAGAAAATATAGTTCTCTCCCATATTTGCAGACGTAGGGAATTATGAGTGTATAACACTACATATACAGTCAGGCTTGGTTGATGTGTTGATTAGTTTTCATGAACTGCTTTTTTTTCCCTCTACTTTTAAATTTTTTTTGGTGTAAAGGATGGTTCCATAATGTGGCGGGGGAGGTAACATACTTAGAAATGAAGGAGATATAAAAAATAAAAGTTGAATAATTTTTTTTATTTTAAAGTGATTATTTTCTTCTTCAACTTATTTTGACCTTCATCAATCTGAACATATAATTACAGCATTCTTATAAGTCAGAGTGAGGACCAAATTTTTTTTTATTTTTGATGTATAAGAATTTGACTGCTCATGCTATCTTCTGAAAGATGATTTCCCTTTAACAAAGTACCATCAGATTTTGTAGATAGTCTTAAACTAGCCTTAATTGTTCCTAATTGTAACCAGCTTCTCTTTCACTTTGATACAAACTATCAAAATGGTAGGAAAGTAAAACAGAGCAGAATTAGTCCTCCAAATAAGATACTCAGTTTTTCAGATGACTTTGTACTAACTGCACCAATCATTCAACAGATTTCAAAGCAGGATTAAAGTAAAGTGAGAGGTTTATATATTTTTAACTTCTCTCTCAATGAGAGATGTCCTCCATTTGTCTGTCTAGAATATGAGATCATTTAATATTAACTTGAGAAGGTACAAAGAATTCCTACTACTTAACTTAATAAGTCACCCTCCACCCAAAAATCAGCCATCAGCACTTCTAGGTAGAAACTAAAGGACTTACTGCCTAAGAAGTGCCAGTCATTCACTGCCCAGAAAAGGTGCTGGGGGCAGGGGGCAGGCCACTGAATTGATTCAACAAATCACACCTTCACATTCTGTAGCTTCTTTGGTATATGATAGCATATGTATATATGCATATTTTCTAAAATGATAAGTACTGCAATGTTTACAAGTGGTAGTCAATTAATAAAGATGAAACCAAAATATCTTTTTCTAAAAAAGATGAGGTGGAATGTACCTCATAATGCCAAGAGGAACTGCTGATCAACTGAACAATAATTTGGAATACTATTCTTAGAGAAAACACACTGTATTTATAGTATCTTCATCATCAAAAGTAGTACAATATATTCCTTAGGAACTACTAACTTGTATTAATTTTTCGACAAGATTTGTATTTTGACTAGCTAACCTCAGGCAAAGTCAATCAGATTCTCAGGCCAAATGAACTGTACTACCCAAACCAACAATCCAAAAAGAAATACTATGTCATCTCGCCAATAAAATAAATTCAATTTTTCAAAACTGTCAGTAAAGAAAAATTTGGTATGTAGATAATCCCTAGTTTGGAGTTTCTATGTGTCACACAATGCATCCTGGATGTTTTTGTTTTTGCTTTTTAAGGATCATTTTTCTCCTTTGCCTTTATAGTTAGAAAGGCTTGTTATAAAAGTGGGAAGCTAGCAGTTAACCTGTTTGCCACAAGGTGGCAATTCTGAGTTGGCAAATAGGTGAAATCAGTTATATTTTCTCAGACCTACCAGAACTTTAAGAATAAAGGAGTTATTGCCCATGAAAAGCAAAATATGGGCCTTTGTGAGGCCCTTCTGTTGAGTAGATCAGATAAAAGTCCAGTGAAAAGAGGGATCTACTAATATAAAACCCTATTTTCTCTTCAATTCACACTTTAAAATACTATAGAAGATAAATTTCTCAGAAGGATTGAGAACTGGAAAGGATCTTCAAGATTACTTAGCTTAACACCTCATTTTGCACACGAATAACCTGAGGCCCAGAAGGAGAAGGTGGCTTTCCCAAAGTCACTCGGCTAGTAAACAGGAGAACCAAGATTGAAACCCAGGTCCTGACACGAAGGTCAGCACTCTTTCCTCTGCCAAGAAGCCAGGTCTCACTTATACATACCCCACCACATCTATGATTTTTTTCCTAATGGAAATTTATTCAGTAT